GTTTGCAAGTGGGCGTCGCCACGCACTTCGTGGCCTCACACGGAGCTCCAACTAAGGCCCCACTTACACCGTTCGCGCGCGGGCGCCACCCCCCTCGCGGCACGCCGCGCGCACGTTTTTTTCGCGGCCCCGCATGGAGCTCCAATTGAAGCGCGGTGGGCGTCGCCCCTGTTTCGGCACACCCCTCGCGCGCTTCGTCGCGCCCCCGTAGGGGGCTCCAACTAAGGCCCAACTGGCGCCGCTCGCATGTCGGCGCCACCCCCGCTTCGGCACACCCCTCGCGCGCGTGACCGCATAGGGAGCTCTAGCTAAGGCCCCAATGGCACTGTTCGCGCGTGGGCGCCACGCCCGTTTCGGCACGCCCCTCGCACGTTTTGTGGACCCATGTGGAGATCCACCTCAAGCCCAAGCGGCACCGTTCGCGCGTGGGCGTCGCCCCTCCTTTCGGCATGCCCTTCGCACGTTTCGTCTGTTTTGGTCCCATAGGGAGCTCCAGCCAAGGCCCAAATGGCATCGTTCGCATGTGGGCGCCGTCCTCGTTCCTGTACGTCACCCTTCTCCCCAAACCCCAGCGGCGCCGATCGCATGTGGGCGTCGCCCCCGTCTCGGCACATGTCTCACACGTTTTGCGGCCCCATAGGGAGCTCCAACTAAAGCCCAAGCGGCGCCGCCGTTCGCCTCGCACGTGGGCGACACCCCTATTTCGGCACACACCCCTCACACTGTTCCTGGCCCCGCAGCTCCACTTCAGGCCTGATGGCGACTCTCCTTTTTTTTTGCTGGCACACACCGCGCGCATTTCGCGTCGTCGCGGTCACGCAGGGAGCTCCACCTGTGGCCCCAGCGGCGCAAACCGCGCATGGGCGACACTCCCGACCGCAGGGAATTCCGCCAAAGACCCCAGCGGCACAGCCCGCACGTGGGCGTTGCCCCACTTGCGGCACTGACAACTGCATGTGGTTGGGTTCTTCGCCAAGCTTCAGATTTGCCCGGGGCGGGGCCCAGGCATTGTAAAATATGGGACGATTGCACAAAGCACGCAGACAATCAACAACCATAGTGGCCATGGCCCCCCCCGCACTTCAAGAGCAACATGACTTACCAGCGTATGAGTGTGTGACGATGAATTCACGATTGCGTTAATGCGTGTGTGTGCGCGCGCGCGTGTGTGTGTGTGTGTTTGTGTGTGTGCGGGCGCGTGGTTGCGCGATTGCGTGGGCGCGCGCGGGGTTCTGGCGAAAAAGATGATGCGCAACGGGGTCAGTAATAATGATGATGGCGGAGTGGGTGTCTGTGCGTTGAGGATGGTGAGTGGTTGATGACGACGGCGGCGTTGACGACGGCTGACGACGTCGTCCGGTGGCGTTCATGGACGCCGCCGCGCGAGAAGAACGTGATTCAATTTCGAGAAGCTGAACGGAGAAAACCACGCGTTTAATTCGTAGTATCGGAGGCTGTAGCCGCAGAAGATACAAGACCAATCGAATATTCTGATGTCCTACCAAGATGTATGATGCAGAGAAGACGCGCATCCCGATATATATATATATATATATATATATGTATATATATATATATATATATATATATATGTGCGGGCGCTCCCGCGTCCGCGCGAGATTCAGAAGATCTATGGCATGAAATTGTCGCGTGTATATACTGCGCACGCATTAAACTCCGCTCATCGCTCACGCACTGAAACATGTACAACGCAGACGTGCATACATTTGCATATGAAATGTGTATGTGTGTATATATATATGTATGTATGTGTATGTATTCCCACATATATCTACATACATAGATGAAAAGATGCAGTCATGCACCTATACATATACACATCCGTGTATTCATATGTATGTATGTATGCCTGTCTGTCTGTCGGTCTGTCTGCATGTATATATGTACGCGTATTTTATATGTGTGTGTGCGTGCGTGTTCAACACCCAAATGGACGAACGCCCATAATAAAAACAAACATGGCCCAACTATGTAATTACATATTGAAAAATATAAATCGCCCTCGCGGTGGCTGCATTGGAGCGTGGAATTTCAAATTCAACTGAATGTGGGAAAGATGAGACCCCCAAGAGAGCCCCGAGTCGGCCCAAAAGGACCCCAAGATCGTCCAAGCCGCTTCCAAGAAGGCCTCAAGCCGGGCGCTCCAAGAGGGCACCAAAACGGCCCAGAGAGACCCCCCTGACGACCCAAAAGACTAGAAGAGGCCGCCAAGAGGCCCCAGGAGGATTCCAAAGGGCACCCAAGCGGCCCCCCAGAAGGCTCCAGGGAGGCCCCCAAGAAACCCCAAAAGGTACCCAAGAAGCTTTCTCCTGATCGTCCTCATTTTCTCCCGCTCCTCCTCCTCCTGCTCCTGCTCCTCCTCCTCTTCCTCAGCGTGCGGATGAAGACGATGTCGGGATCACCACCGTCCTGAGCTCAGATCACTCGCCGAACTGCCGCGGGATGTGAACTCGACCTCCTTCCTACCGCGCCAACGAAGACGAGGTCGAGTTCACGACCCGTCCTTATCAGACCACTCGTCGGAATTGCGCTATTCCTACGCTCGGTCTCCTTCCTGCAGCGCTGCTGCACGAGCACGGCGGCGGGGTTTGCCACAGGCGGCCAGGAAAAAAAACACTCCAAATCGCCAAAGGCATCCTAGGGAATACCTGTGATCGCAGGAGGGCCACGCTGAGGCATCGGCGGCTCCTCAAATCCGCTCAAACTGGGCCCGTGGACCCATCCCAAGGTCCATGCTGACCCGATTCTACAATTAGGTCGGGCATGTCCTCCTACAGGCGGATTTTGGACGAAATATTAACAATTGTCAGAAATCATTAAGAACAGTGAAGAATTGTAGAAAAATCGTCCCAAACTATTTTTTGGCTATTTTGAAAATTCTTCCTGTAGAGGGACATGCCCGACTTAATTCTACAGGCAGATCCAGCCGTGGTGACGAGAAGCCTCCGGAGGCTCAGAAAAGACCGAAACGCGCCAATTAAGGCCGCCGTGGTAAGACAAAACCGGGAGCGGGACAACATCGGACAAGGACAGATCGGATATGTCTGAGGTCTGCTGGTTATGGAGGATGTACCGTATGTTGACGGCACCCATGCACCGTACCGTGCTTGGACTCTCTTCAGGCCCCGCCGCTCCAACGCGGTACTGTGCAGTGTAGTTCGGCTCTCAGGGGTCTGAAAACTGCGCACCGTAGCATTCAAAGGCCAGAGATCGACGACGCCTCGGGAGACGCCGACGCAGTTCGGTGCACAAAAGTCGTCCGCGGATATCTGGTTCCATGGTCGGCCCAAAGCGCACTGGAATGCTCTGAGAGTGCCCCGGAAAGCTTTCAGAGGAGGGGTGGAGGAGGAGGAGGAGGAGGAGAAGGAGAGGAGGAAGAAGAAACTGAAGATGATGATGGCGATAATGACGACTGGCGATGGTGATGGTGATGATGATGATGATGATGACAATTCGGATGCAGATGATGCTGATGATGACGATGATGCTATTGATGATGATTCGCAGAGTATGATGATGGTGATGATGATGATGCCGATGCTTCTGCCGACGATGATGATATTGCATTTTGCATCATGCCCTCAAGGTCGCCCTTGCGCCTGAGGCGGCACGACAAGCCGCTGATAAGAAACGTTATGCAAGAACGCCTCGCGGGAGACGTGAGAAGATTGAGGTCAGTGCAGCAGGCGAGCGAGCGGGCGTACACGAGCGAGCCATTCCTCTTTGCTGCACTGGCCTGCATCCACAAGCCAATCTGAACCGAGCCGTCGAGCGAGATCCATCTGCCATCGCCAAGCCTTGAACTTGCGGCCGTGCGTCTGGGATCCGTGCTCGCGTTTCATTCTCTGGAGCCAGGCCATGCTGCGGCACTGTAGCAGGTGGACGGGCACTAGCTGGGCAGGCGTGGCACTTGGCAAGGCGGCCTGGCGGGCTAGATGACCAGCCAAGGTGAGTCTGCTAAGATTCACATCTATGTCCCATGTCGGCTGGGATTGTAGAGCGGCAGAGGCTCGGCGCCAGCGACGGCGGCAGAACTCCCCGGGCGTCTCCCCCGTCCATCTGTCCGTGCAAATCAGCTGTGGGGACAGCGTGCGATGCGTGATGCGCATGTAATTCAAGTCCTTGACGGTTCGGCACCTCGATCCCGAACCATAGCAAGACAGGCTTGATAGCTTGCTCGAGCAGCTTCGCGGCCCGCTGCCAGCGGCAGGCGCGCCCAGGCAGAGACAGCTTGAGAGCGTAAGAGGCTCGCCAGGCGCGCGCTACCCTGTGCTGCGCGTCCTTCCAAGACCTTCCGTCGAAGGTGAAATCAGAGCCGAGGCAGGGGGAACCCTCGGCGCGCGGCGCGCGCGTCAGGATACCGTCCTCGACCCTCGCCCGGTAGTCGCCGAACTCGTGGTCCAGCGCCGTCGCACCCCGGGTCAGACCGGAGGGAGGTGCGCGCCAACCGCGATCTCGAATAATGCGTCGCCAGGCCATCGCATTCAGGCGCAGCGTCTCGGCCGCGCCCGCGAACAGCCAGAAGTTGTCGGCGTAGAGCAGTCCCGCCTCGTGCAGCGTCGCCTCTCCCGGGAACTCGAAGCCCCGGCCGTGCGCCCAGCACTTGTCCAAGAGCTCCTCCTAGGCATCCTCCAGCACCAGGTTGAAGAGGATCGTGCTGGCTGGGTCTCCTTGTCGAATGCCACGAGTCCGAGGTGCTGGTTGCGTCTGGATCGAGCCCATCTTGATCACCGCCGAGGCCTTCAACTCCCTCATGATGGCCAGGATCACGGGCCTTGGCGCGGCCCTCTTTCGCAGCGTCTCCTCGATCGAGGGGTGCGATACACGGTCGAAGGCCGCCTCGATGTCGCCGTCCATGATGAAGATGGGTCGGTTCCACTCGCGAGCCTTCTCCACCAGCATGCGCATGCTGAAGATCACGTGTACTGCGGGCTCCGCAGGGTCAGCTTGCTGCCGCATTTCTTGATCAGGCCGATCGACTAGAGCTTCTCGAAGGTGGTCAGGAGCGCGATTGGCCTGTACCCCTTGAGCGTGTGCTTGTCTCCCTTCTTCTCCATGGGCTGGATGATGTGCTTCGACCAGACTTGATCCCTGGCATGCTCTGGCACCCCGCGGAAGCGGCTCTCGAAGACGGCCGCGAGCGAGGCGAGGAAGCCCGAGTCGAGGGCCTGCGCGACCTCGGCGACCACCCCGCCCACGCCAGGCGCCTTCATGGCCTCCATGTCGTCCAGAGCCTCGCGGGGCAAGGGCGGGATGTCTAGCGCGTCCTCCTTCGTGATGTGGGCGGGGTAGGCAGAAACCCAACAGGCCCCTCCCCGTCGCTGGTCCTGAAGGCGTTGCCGCACTCGCGCTCCAAAAGTTCCTTGATCCTCAGCGGATCGTCTTCGATCCCCCCTCCGTGCTCATCAGCTGGATGTGGGCCGGCCCAGGCTGAGCTCGGCCAAAAGCTCGAACTCGAGGGTTGCCAGCCTCGTGTAAGTCGTGCTGCAGGGCCCTGTTCGCGGCCCTGATCTTGATGTCCCTGCTGTAGATCGCGCGCTGCACGCGGTCGCGGGTGGCCCGCCGACGCGCCTCCAACGTCCGCAGCGTCTGCGTGAACTCGTGGCTCTCGGGGAGCTTGGGGGCCTCCCGCGCTGGCGGGCCCCTGCCGCGGGCTGCGGCAGCCATGCGCACCGCGCCCATCATAGACGTGATTGGCACTGGGTTGCGGTCGGCGTAGCAGGCGTTGTGGCTCCAGCGCTGGAAGCGGTTGTCGAGGCAAGTCCAGCCCTTCATGGGCGCACGGCCTCCGTTCCAGACGTAGCGCCTCCTGGCGCCGAGGGTGAGCTCCAGCTTGATGGCCGAGTGGTCGGACTGCGCGCAGTCGGCGATATCCTCGAGCGCGGTGCTGACCTTCCAGATGTCGCGAGCAGGGGTCAGGACATAGTCGATCTGGGATGGCGGGCACTTGAAGTCGCAGTGGCAGGTGGGCCCGCTGGCCGCCGCAATGAACGTGTTCGTCGCCGCGAGGTCGCGCTGCATGAGAAGCCGCGCCAACAGGTCGGCGCGGCGGGTGCGCTGACCGACTGGGAAGTCCCCGACCCAGCGCGCCTCGTCCGCCCTCGGGGGGAGGCAGAGCCGCCTGCGCGTCCGCGCCCACGATCGGATGCGCCCCAGACGGCGCCACGGTGATCAAGTCGGAGAGCTCGTCCATGGAGTCCTCGCGCTGGCTGCGAGAGTGTCCTGGGAAGAGGTGACTGCATATGATCCAGTAGTCTTTCTTGCGAATGCGAAAATGATGTGCCGCCGAACGCCCCCATGGCAGAAAATCCCCTCGAAGAAAAAGTCGAGCGCGAGAGCGTGCCGGCAGCCCCATCTGCTTCTGCCCCTCGACGCGCGGTGTGACCAGGTAGAGATCGCCTTCGCTGACCTCTAGCTTCGTGGTCGTGTCTCATTAGCCTACCTCCTGGAAGATGGCCAAATCGTAGTCGTGCTGCTCGCGCAGCGTCTGCGCAAAGAACTCTGCGCTGTGCTTTCCGATCCCCTGAGCGTCCCAACTGGTGAACTTGAAGCCCATCTGCTCCGCGGGTTCCTCTAGAGTTCGCTCCCTGTCCAGTCGCTGCCCCGCGTTGGCTTTCGCCTGGAACTCGACTGGGTTCAGGTCCGCGCCCGTGTAGGTGCTGATCTCGGCCGCGACGTTCTCCCTGAAACTCATGAGGCCCGTGGTCTTCACCGTTTTGCCAAACCTGTGCTGCTTCCACCAGGCGACGCCTCGAATGTAGTCCAGCTCCAGGTCGGCCGTCTGCACGCCGAGGTTGTCGATCATCTCCTTCTTCGCACGCGTGATCATCATAGAGAGCCGAATCACCTTTGAGGATTTTTCCGCTGAGCACCAACATCGTTGACTCTGATGATGCGACTGCGGCATAGTAGTCTGCTTGCCCTTCATAGAGCGCACCCAAGCCCACATGCGTCCCGAACTTGTGGGGCGGACCTTCAAGAAGCTCGCACGCTCGAGCGGGACGAACACTCCATCCTCTGCCTTGTCGGGAATCGTGTCGGTGAAAGCGCGAGCCTCGCTCGGGATGGTATCGCGTCGCGTGTCCCGATCCCAGCCGCCGATGGTCACGCAAATCTTGTCGCTCGCTTTCTTTGGCCCCGACGGAGCCGACCGTGCCGCACTCTCGAGCCCGGAGAAACGCAGCGGAGGCCCGACCGAAGACGCAGCCGTGGATGGTGCCACCGAGCGTCCCTCGCGAAGGTCTTTGAGCTCCTGCTCCATGCTGTTGGGGCGGCCCTCGTGCCTCTCGACATCCCTGCGCACGTTGTCGATCGATGTCTTCACATCCGCAAAGTCCTTCGCCATCGGCTCTTTGATCTCTGAACGCAGCATCTCCCTGAAGTGAGCCATCATCGTGTGACCATCCAGGAGTGCAGCGGGCACTGGCTCGCGCGAGCGGCTGCGAGAGCCCATCGACCGCTAGCACAATCTGGCAGAGT